AGAAACCGGCCAAACGCAACCTCTCTCTCTCTCTCTCTCCCTTGCCTATTCCCTCACCCTCCTACCAGAACTCCTACGCCTACTCCTATTCCAATTTCCACTACCACTACTGCTAGTGCTACTGCTACTGCTAGTGCACTGTGAGTTTTCCGGACCGTTTCCGGACCGCACAAGTTTATTTTGCTCCCAATTTTGAAATCGAATGCGTTCACGCATGGATCCTTACTCTCATTACTAGATTTGCTACTACCCCCAGCACTACCACCACACCCGCTGCTACTGCACCACCCTGCACCACCACTACCACCACTACCACTAGTACACCTAGGAATTTCTGCTCTTGCTTTTAAATCCAATTGCACTCGTGTGAAGGGTCAGAAACGAGTCAGAAACCAGTCAGAAACCCGTCAGAAACCCGTCAGAAACCGGCCAAACGCAATCTCTCTCTCTCTCTCCCTTGCCTATTCCCTCACCCTCCCATCAGAACTCCTACGCCTACTCCTATTGCAATTTCCACTACTGCTAGTGCTACTGCTACTGCTAGTCCTGCTGGTACTACTGTGAGTTTTCCGGACCGTTTCCGGACCGCGCAAGCTTATTTTGCTTCCAAATTTGAAATCGAATGCGTTCACGCATGGATCCTTACTCCCACTACTAGATTTGCTACTACTCTTAGTACTACTACCACACCCGCTGCTACTGCACCACCACTACCACTAGTACACCTAGGAATTTCTGCTCTTGCTTTTAAATCCAATTGACACGAGTTCCGCTGAAGGGTCAGAAACGAGTCAGAAACCAGTCAGAAACCCGTCAGAAACCGGTCAAACGCAACTATCTGTTTCCCCCTCCCTCCCTCTCTCTCTTTCTCTTTCTCTCTTTCCCTCCCTCTCCCTTTCTTCCCTTGCCCTGCTACTAGAACTCCTTCTCCTATTCCTACTCCTACTCTTACCCCTCCTACTACTACTACTACGACTACTCGACTAGTACGACTAGTACTACTAGTACGACTAGTACTACTAGTACGACTAGTACTACTAGTACTACTAGTACTACTAGTACTACTAGTACTACTAGTACTACTAGTACTACTAGTACTACTAGTACTACTGCTGGTACTACTGTGAGTTTTCCGGACCGTTTCCGGACCGCGCGAGCTTATTTTGTTCCCAAATTTGAAATCGAATGCGTTCACGCATGGATCCTCATTATATAATACATAACTTATATTTTATGTATATGATCTGATCAACGAAGAACAAACCCTTCCGCGATTGTTCACTGTGGTACCGCGGTTGCTACGCGATTGGCTGAGCGATTGAGGGCTGTCCGGGAAAAGGTATTTTGGACAACCCCCATATATATATAACACCATAATTTGCCTATTAAATGCCCATTTAAAGGGGATTTCCATTGCAATCTTTGATTACCGGAGGGTATACTGGTTTTCAATGGTTTTCAACTTTCCCTTTTGAATTTGACATATGTGACCCCAGGATGAAGCCATGCCAGGTTATCTGATACAGTCCTTCCAGCAGCCAACCATTACGGCTTCAATCAGCATGTTGGCATTTGCAGCCTTGAATGCCACTGGCCTGTGGCTGATGAAGAAGCTGCAGCTTGGGAACCTTTGGGAGGTACCTTTGGGATGTCCAAGGCTGAACCCCTTTCAGCTTGTTATCCATATTATTAGGCACTATTTCACTATTAGACTACACACACACACACTTACATATATATATATATAATTATATATATATTTATATCTATATGCACTGTGTATAATATATATATATAATATGCGCATATAAACATAAAATCGTATAACTGTATACTGCGGATGCATGCTATTGTTTGCCGGCAAATGTCATTTTTTTTCCTCGCCAGGTGGCGATCATCGCCGTGGCATACTTCGCCTCCACGGGCTTCGTTTCTTTGTCGCTGGGCATTTTGTTCTCTGACTTCCTGTGGTCCTATTTGTTGGGAACCTTCCTACAGGCCAGTGCGATCACCATGGCGTTGGTCTCTGTGAACGTGCTGTTCTTTGAGCCCTTGCAACCTGGTAAAAAACCAGGGAAAACCCAAAAAAAAGGACGGGCCTTCAAAAAACATGGTTCAAACGAATACATTTTCCCTTGACACGTTTTTTATGGGCGCCTTTGCGTCCATGACCTGAGGCAAGATTGCGCTGGCATGGCTGCTTCATGCGAGATTTGTGCCAAGAGTCTGATTCCATGTTTCTTTTCCATGCTTTCAACCCAATCCTTGATGCACTGGGGGCCAAAAGGCCTGACATTGCTTCTTGGCGGGATATAGTCATGGTGGCTGCACCGGTTTTGTCATAGTTTTCTTTCTTGATGTCAACTCCTTGAGCTTCGAACTTGAAGGGCCATGAGAGCCAAGAGGGGCCAACCAATTCATTCCAGGGAACTGGTTCCCTGTGTTGCATGTTGTACATGCGCAGCATTGCGCAGCAGTTGTACCACGTGCCCCCAGGTTCCAAGCGAGCGCCTGTATCTCATCTGGCTTGGTCTTTTGTGGCTCCGCCTGGTGCAACAAGCCAAACAACATGAAGCAACAGCAGTGAACGAATTCCATGGAGCCTCGAATATTCATCCCATGGTCCAAGAGTTTCCAAGCTGTGGAGGCACACTGGAGGCACATGAATATTTCAATGGGAGACATCAACCCGAAGCACCTTGAAACATTGGCATTGGCACGAAGTACGTTGAAGCATTGGGATTGGCGTGTGCTGACCTACGGGCCTTTTTGAAAGTTCCGAGCGCAGTGATTTTGGTGGCACATCTCACTGGGAGACATCAAGAACTGGGAACATGTTGAAACATTGGCATTGACGCACGTGACAAACAGACCTGCGGCAGAAAAAAGAGTCCAAAAACCAGCGACGTCCAGAATTCGTCGATTGTTCTGGTGTTTGGTATATTACTTGATCGTCAAAGGATGGTAATCCCCCCACTACAATAGGGATTCATAATGGTTCATATATGCACACTAAATATCCCAATCATATATCCCACTAATCACCGTTAACATATAAAAATCATTTAGAATCCCATATAATCCCATGATATCCGTCTTAAATCCATGGATAGTATAGATGTATATCTCCATTAAGAATCATTAACATCCCACTCAGGAAATCTTCAGCAGCGTCCGGGCACTGGATGGAAAATTGGAAGCTGCTGATCTCGAGCAGCTCTGCGGTTTGGTGCCGCTGGCGCCAAAGGAAAGGGTGACCTGGCGAAATACGGCCAAAGTTTTGGGGCGGAAACAGGGGTCCTAGATGGTCCAAATGTGGATGGAAGAAACCCTGCATGACCTGGGATGGTTGAAACCCTATGAATAATGGGATAAACCATCTATCAACTGGTCCAGAATTTCTTCCATCCACTGTAGTAGTGTTCCGGTGTTCCTAGGATCTGTCTGAAGTAAAACATCGGCTCCGCAAAAAATCTGGAACTTGTGGACTGGTTCATAGGCAACTTTGAATTCAATGGTTTGACCTTGGTGCAGGCAAGCTTTGGAGTTGGGTGTGCCAATGTCTCAGCCCATAGTACCAGTGTAATTCAGTATTTCATGACAGATTAAGTAATTATCATATTAATCCATTGTCATTTTCAGTACATCAACGGCCAAGGGCTTGTGATGCTTGTGCCGATGAGGTGATGGCTTCGGGTTCCCTGGCTTTCCGCAGTGACATGACCCTGCAAGCTTTCTTGGAGCACATCTATGGGACACCCACAATCCTGGGGTGGTGGCCCAGCCTCATGGAGGATGCCGTTGGAATGGGTTGGATGTGTCCAGATATATCCAGATATATGCGCGAATATGTATATCACACAACACACATCATATATAATTATATATATATATATATTATATACATATACATATATATATATATATATGTATATATATATATTATGTATATGTATATATTTAATTAAATTATATATATATACATATGTATTATATATAACTATACACACATATATATATAATTTAATTATATATATATATGATTAATGAATATTAATTATGATTATACACAATCATTGGGACCCATCATTGGGATACCATTGATCATGATTCTATATAACGATAACCGTAACCGTAGCGAGTCGCGGCGTTGTGTCACAGGAGGCAGCCAGTGACGCAGTCCAAAGTGGACTTCCTTTGGCCGACGTTTGCAGCGCCTTCGAACTGGCGGCCAAGCGGGGACATGTCGAGATCCAGGTGTGACATCAGCCAGCGGACTTGGAGAAATGGACTTGGTATTTTTAAACATTTTTTGTTCTTTTTTCAAACTGGAAGGTATTGGTCATGAAAAATATATGACAGAAATATGGCAGACATATCAGGTGCAGTTTCTGTTTCTGACATCGCATGCCCGGCAGGACTTGCATGATGTGCTGCTGCCAGCCTTGGGGTGCCCTGGCTCCCAAATGTCCGTTTTGAATGGAAAAATGGGTGATCTTGGTCTGAGATGGTCTGGGACCTGGGATGGTAGATGATTTTGAAGCACGCAAGGGAACAGAACGGGGCTATGATCCCGTGAGTCTTCGTTCATTGATGTTTGAGCGAAGCCTTGACAGTCCTGGCTCCATTGCTTAGGCTCCCGACTGAAGGATCGGTTGCCGAGGCCAGCAACGGGCTTTGGTGCAGGGTATTGCAGGGTGGAGGTGAGGTTTGACGTAATGGCCATGGCCCAGGAAAAGTTTGCAGAACTTCATGGAAGCGCACCACTGCCCTTCCGCGCATTTACGAAATGGCTAGCTGCTCCTTGGTACGACACTGGTATAGTATGGTATAGTATAACCCCAACCGCTCTGACGATTGCCGCGAGACTGTGTGTTCTCTGAACGAGATGGGACATATGACAAATCAGAGTCATAGGAGGAAAAATCAGAGAGAGAGAGAGAGAGGATTCTTGTCCCACTATTGCGACATATCAACCCATTCGTTAAAGGAATTGGATACAGTATATACGATTAGACAAGATTATGGAGTGCCCTGCATCATTTTCTTATGTCCTCCATCTTCCCTTTTGTTTGTCGCCTTGCGACCTTTTGCTAGCCTTGCCGGGACACGGCCCAGGACTTTTACATCAGGTTGACACAGGCCACGAACGAAGAGGGATGAGAATTGTAGGAGTTGCTGAAATGCTTGTATGTGCTTGGTCTTAGCTTGACCCCGCTTGATGCTTTTCCACAATGGTGACGTGTACAGAATCGCCCCATGTGTTGGAACTTGGGAACTGCCCTGGAACTTTCTCCAGGCTTACTTTGCCCCTGACTTGAGGCGAAAAAAATGGCCGATGCAACAAGTTTTCAGAACCATCCAGAACCATCCAGAACATTCCAAAACCATGGGTGCTGTATAGCTGCTGTACCACTGCCATACCATTCCAGCCATCACCGTGCTCTGAGGTCTACGTATGTCACCCCACTGGCAAGCCATTGGGCATTAGGCCAGTTTGAGGAAACAGCTTGTTGGCTGATGATTTTGAGGGTAGGTGAGAATGGTGAGAGACTTTGTGATTTTTGTGGTGCTGTTTAAAGTTGTTGAAAACATGAGTGACCAGGTGGCTGATATTAATTTAATTAATTATCCATAGTTCATTGCGATTGCATGGGAACCTGTGGGGTTTGTGGCCTGTGGGAGAATTGTTTGGAATGCCCAGCTCAACTGCTGGATTTGTCCATCTTGCAGGCCAAAACCGCAGGAGTTCGGACTGAGCTCCACGCCAATGTTGTGACATCGATTTTAGACATGGATGATGTGGCGAGGGGTGGCCATTGCTGGAGAAAAAGAAAAACATCTCAACAAAATCATGACAAAATCCAAAGATATGTCTGCAAGTGACGGAAAACCTGGGCCACACAAAGATCTGCGGCCCAATTCTAGGCTGATTTTCGCAGGAGATCGCAGAAGAAAATTGCGAGCGATCGTTAATATGTTGGGAAATTAAGGTAGGTGGCTTACCGTTGGTTCATAGTTGATGCATGATGCGGAAAGTGGGAATAAACGGTATGCTGCAGTTGCGTCCGCCTTGCATTCTGGCTGCAGGATGTGATGGATCCATGAGACCCACAATTGGACATAGCATTTTGAAGTTTGGTGATACCGGTGATACAGTACATATCATGCAGATCCAGTTACATATTTTACATTGTTTTATGTACACATGTATATAACTTATGCATAACTTTTTTTTTGGTATATAACTTATATATATATATTTTTGTATATTATATAACTATTATATATAACTTTTATATAACATACATATCACTTATTAATAATGATATGATGGTCGCCCCGACTGTTAGGACGAATCAGTTTGAGCGTCTGATCGGGGCTTTTAGGCTCAAACGCAGAGCATGCCATCGCTCTGCAATAAGTGTCACTCAGGTAAGCAGAGTGACGGTGATTCCTGGTGCCTGGGCTGTGCAGCCCAGGAAAGTTCCGCGCGGCTGTTAAAGCGCCGCTGGAATAACCCGGGCTTGCGACAGGTGGCCGAGGAAACACTGGTCTCAGGCGCCAGGTTGCTTCGGGCCTTTGCCAACGTGGACAACAACCTGGTGACCTCGGCGACGAGGGACCCGCACCCTTTGACCGCTGCCAAGTCAAAGGCTGAAAAGAAGCGGTCGAGGAGTCCGGTCAGAGATACCAGGCCACCGCTGGTCAGACAGTCGCCACGCCCGCGTTCTGCTGACCGAAGGTCGGAGGCTGATTACGGAAGGGACTCTGGCAGCTACACGGAGGAGAGTGAGGAAGAGGAGAAGAAGGTGTCTGACAAGGCTCTGCCTGCACCTCCGCCGCCACCGGTGCCGCCAGAGGTCAAGGAGGAGTCTCGTGGCTCAAGGCCTCCACCTGAGCCGCCCTTTCCACCACCAAGGCGACGTGACGTGGAAGGCGAAGACAGAGAGGAAGGTCGGAAGCGACGTTCAGAGCGCAAAGCACACGCCGAAGGTGAAGAAGGACAGACAAAGAAAAAGAAGAAGAACAAGAACAGAGGAGGTGCCAAGCACCAGAGGCGCTGGCGTGAAACGACAGACCCACTTAGGGCGAGCCATCGGAGGCTGGATCCCAGCTATCTTGAGCTCTCTACGTCCCTGGGTGAGGCGCTGGAGCGTCGAGCCTAGTCAAACTCTTTGCCCCCGAGGCCATTGCAATGGCTGGGACGGCATTAGAAGGTTTGGATGGTGTCGGATTGGAGGACGAGGAGCCGTTTGGTGCTGTGCCAACGCCGGAAGAGGTAAGAGAAAGCCTCCGCAGCGCACCTCGGCCCACTACGCCGGTGAAGTACAATCTCGCCGAAGCGGAGTTTTGGCGGTTGAGGCATGTGCCTGCGGGCTCAGTTCTTCTCTTCAAAGACCCCAGGTCGGACCCTGCAGACGATGCGTCCGTTGCGGTTCTGGTTCTCTCGACCGAGTCGCTGGACCGTGGTGTGTGGGTTACCGTAAAGGTGGTTGGCGGCAGCGAAGAAGAGTCAAAGAAGAGGGCTCAGAAATTCTTCAGGTCGGGCAAAAGAAAGCTCCATCTGTGCAACTTAGACAGGGATGGCATGTGCATGGATGTAGAAACGGAAGGCCTGCACCTGACACAGTTCGAGTGGTTCCCACCCGGAGACTTCTCTGCAAGCTGGGTGTCTGCAACTGGACGAAAGGCAATCAAGGATGGCAAGACCATGGCCTTGGAAGAGGAAAAGAAGCGGAGGCAGGAAGAAGAAAGGAAAGAGCCCCCGGCGGATGGCGAAAGGCCCCATACCTCGAGAGTGGAGGAAAGGCTGAGGTCGCTGGCCCGCCCCTCGGCCTTGCGAACCAGCGGGCGCCATGTGTCCTTTCCTGGATTCGGGGATGCGCCAGACTCTGGAGGGGACGGTGCCGGCCGCAGGGCTACATCGAAGGCTGGTCCGGTCAGACGAGAGTCTCAATCACGCTCTCTGGTGGCCTATGCCCCGATGGAGAACGGGGTCAAGACGGAGGTGATAGATGTGGACACCGAGAGCGAGAACAAGTCGAAGAAGAAAAAGAAGAGTGCGAGCCTGGGCGAAAGCCTTGCCAAAGCGGCCAAGACACAGGTCGAGCCCAAGGAAAGCGAAAGGAAGAGGAGGAGGAGCAGGAGCCGCTCTCGCTCAAGGAAGTCGAAGAAGAAAAAGAAGAGAAGGGAGTCGAGCTCAAGGAGTCGCAGCAGGAGCCGATCCTCGACGTCGAGCAGGGACGAGAGTCTGCTCCCTCCGTTGCAACGGAAGGCGCAACGCTCCCCAGGAGCGGTCTTCCGAATGCTGGAGGAGCACATGGCAGAGAGGCTCTCACAGGATGCAGCTCTGGAGGTGGAGGAGGACGGGAGCGGCCCGAGTGGAGCCCGCCCCCGCTTCCAGACTTACTTTCAGCTTTGTCTGAGGCCCCAGCTGGATCCGCGCAGTCGGGACTGCAAGGAGCTGTCGCTCCTGGCCCGATCGCTGGATCTTCTGCGGGGGGGCCGCTTGGAGAGATTGGCAGATCTCCTTGCAGCTCGCCTCATAGCGGTCGATACCGCTACCAGACAAGGTTGGCAAACTGCTCGATATTTAGAAATCGACAACGACGCCGACGAGGGAAGCGCTCCCCCCCACATGCTCTTGGCCGCCCAGCGGCATGGGCGCCTGGTCGAAAAAGCAGGCGGCGAAGGCAGCTGGCCAAAGCAGTGGGGAAGCTACGAATGGGGAGGCGACAACAAAGGAAAGACGAAAGGGAAGGATGCCAAGGGAAAGTCAAAGAAAGGAAAAGGAAAAGGAAAGGGATGGAAAGCGGCATGGCAGCCCTGGAGCCCAGAGGAGAGAAACAAAGGAGGAGAGGCAGCCCCGAAGAAGGACGGGTAGTGATGGGGTCGCACCGTGCGGGGATGTATCCCTCGCTGGTGAGACCTGTTAAAGGTATAGCACAGGGCCAGGAGGATCCTGGCGAATCGATGCAAGGTCCGTGCGATCCCCCGTTTGAATCTATTGGGGGGCCGCTGGAGCACAGTAATTTGGAGATTGATTCAGAGCTCCTGGCTACTGGCTTGGCTCATGAGGAAACAGCTGGAGACATCCCATGCTGTCCGGAGAGTCGCGAGAGCTTACTGGCAGCGCTGGAAGCTACCGTTGATCTGGTAGCAATGGGCAGGTTGCTGGCATGGGGACTGTACCGCGGTTTTTGGGCGGAACTTGAGACCTGTGCTGGACCCGTACGGCTCCCTGCACTTCGGCAGAAGGGTGGGGAGCTGTTTCCCCTGCCAGTGGTCCTCCCGTCGGACGAAGAGTTCCGTGACAATGAGCTCAGCGCCGCTGCGAGGTTTGACCTCGGCGTGCGGTGCTGGGTGGCAGTAGGATGTCGGGCAACCAATGCGTTGTACCAGAGCGCACAGTCTGGACTGAGTCGGAAGCCGGGAAAAGTGCATGTGAAAGCGTTGGCAGACATGACAAGTAAGATCAAAAGGTTTTTGGAAGGGGCTGGACCTATTGAGGGATCGTTTAGGGGTGCGGTTGAAGAACTTCAAACAAAACGGGTAAGCTATACTGGTGAGGAAATTTCGCAACCGTGTCCCATCACTGTCAACCAGATTATTAAAGGTCTTCCCCCTATTGGTCATGGAGGCTCAATCCCCATTTTACCTTTTGTGAAGGGTCATACAAGGTGGTTATTGGAGAATCCATTGGAAGCCATGTTACCGGAGTCTGAAAGGGGTTTTTCGCCAGTTACCGCAAAGGTCCACATCAAAAAGGGTGAGGAATTGGAAGTGTTCAAGCTCTTAAACGAAAGAGGTATTACGACCTGGGTTCCAGCAAGTGATGCGTTTTCTGATCATCGTGGTGCATACCTATCAGGTTTATTCGGGGTCATCAAACAGGGTAAGTATACAGAGAGTGGGGAACCTGTTCTTCGTGTTATAACAAACCTCATCCCCACTAATGGGCTGTTCACAGTGTTGCGGGGAGATATTGATTTTCTCCCTTCTGCAACGGGATGGCTCCCGATTCTACTTGAAAGTGGGGATGTAGTGACATTGAATCAATGCGATATGGCGAGCGCATTCTACCTTTTCCGGATCCCTGAACAATGGCACCCATTTTTCTGTCTTAACTTTGTCACAGACGGTGCGTGCATCGGTCTGGAACCTGGGAAATTGTTCAGACCGACAATTCGGGTATTACCAATGGGATGGAATTCCTCTGTTGGAGTTATGCAACAAATTTCAAGGGAGATATTGTTGGGCCATGGCCTTCCCCCCGAACAGGAGTTTAGGAAGACGGGTCCCGTTCCATTGTGGTTTGCCCAGGTGATGGAAAAGACGACCCCTACTTGCAGCTGGTGGCAAGTCTACTTGGACAACTTCCTCTCGGGAGAGCGACATGACGGAGACGGGGGAGAAGATGGGCTCAAGTTACACAGCATGGCGCTACAGGCCTGGGAGAGCACAGGGGTGTTGTCAGCCTCAGACAAGCAGGTCTTGAACTCCCAGTCAGTGGTTGAGTTGGGAGTGAGGTTTGACGGTGAGCGAAGCCTGCTTGGCTCCTCTGCGGCCAGACTCCTCAGAACGATCTGGGTGTCATTATACCTCTTGAGAGGCGGCCGCTGGAGTCAAAAGGAAGCTCAGGTGGTGTTGGGTCGTTGGGTCTTCATTTTGCAGTTCAGGAGGGCCGCAATGTGCGTTCTGTCAAGGAGTTGGGCCGCTGTGGAGACACCCTGGCCAAAACCTGCGAGCAGGAACGCTCTTTTGCAGGAGCTGGTGAAGTTGATATGCTTGGGGCCGCTGTTGCAGACAGACTTGACGGCCCAGTTCGAAGAACATGTGACGTGCTCAGATGCCTCCGAAACCGGTGGAGCATCGGCAGTGAGCGCGGGTCTCACCTGGTCTGGAAGGTCGCTGGCGACAGCCCGGTGCGACACCAGGCTGAGACCTTTGGAGGTGCCGGTGGTGGTGCTTTCAATCTTTAACGGCATAGGCGGGGCCTTCCGCTTGTACGACGTGTTGGGATTGATCCCCCTCGGGCGGGTATTGGTGGAGCTTTACAAGCCCGCCAACCGGGTCACGCGGACTGCTTGGCCGAACGTGGTCGAACTTCATGACATTTGCGGCCTTACAAAGGAAGACGTGCAGAAATGGGCAGCTATGTTTCCACGGGCGGTGGAGCTGCACGTGTACGCTGGTTTTCCTTGCGTGCACCTCTCAGCTGTCCGCGCTTTCCGTCAAAACCTGGCTGGCGAAGGGTCCAATCTCTTCTGGCGACTCTTGGAGGTGCTTGAGTGGGTCGCTGAAGTGTTCACCCCGTTTTGCAAGGTCAAGTGGTGTATCGAAAATGTTTCGTCCATGGACGAGTCTGCAAGGAAGGCCATATCATCGGCCCTGGAGGTTATGCCTATAAAGCTTGACCCCTCGGACTGTATGCCTTTCAACAGGCCGCGGTTCGCTTGGAGTTCGGTGGAGCTACATCAGATGGAGGGTGTCACGCTATACACTGAATGCGAGTACGTGCGTGCCTACCTTTCGACTGGCGTGGAGGTGGATGCAGCCCAGTGGATCAGACCAGGTTGGAAGTGGCATGGTGGTCAGCAAGGTGTGAAGTTCGCGACCTTCATGAAATCTATTAAGCGGCAGCGACCTCCACCAGTGCCGGTGGGTTTGAACAAGGCCAGCCCTGAAATGATTAGCGTGTGGGAGAGCGACTCTTTCCGCTTTCCGCCCTATCAGTACCACCCGAAATTCTGGCTGGAAAAGCATGGCGCTACTCCCCGGCTTTTGGATGCAAGCGAACGTGAGCTCTTGATGGGGTTCGGAGCTGGCCATACGGATGCCTGCCAAAGCGCCAGTGTTAAGAAGCGGAGCTTACAAGATCATGAAGACATCAGGAAATCATTGTGCGGGGATAGCTTTGCGATCTTGCCATTTGCGGTGATCGCTGCTTCCCTGTGCGAAGAGCTCGTCCCGCGCATGCCGCCGCGGCAGATAATGTTGCGGCTGGGACTTGCCCCTGGGCATTCGGTGCACCCTTCCGTGGAGGTCCCGTTGACAAGGCTGCTTTCTTATGGTGGAGATACAAGCCGCCCCTGCGCTGGCATTGACCTGACCAAGCAACTTGGCCTTACCGTTAATCATACTGGGGCGGATGTTCGGGTGGTTACTGGGCAGGTTCTAGGACATCGTTCACCCACTCATGCATCCGTAAGAGCATGGTGGTGGCAGTGGAAGCAGCTTTTCACTGTGAGATGGAAGGGGTCTAGCCATATTAACTACTTGGAAATGAAAATGATCTTCCATACGCTCTTGTGGCGATGTCGGAATCCTTTAAGTGTTAACAAAAGGTGGGTTCACTTGGAGGACAGCATGGTATCGTTGCTGATATTAACCAAAGGAAGAACCTCTAGTAAGCTTCTGCAGCCGTTATCCTGCAAAATTGGTGCGGTTCAGCTGGCCATGGGTGCGTACTTGCTTCATGCGCACGTTGGGTCTGATGAGAACCCCACAGACGCAGGAAGCAGGAGCTAGTGGGTACATGTCTTGCCATGCCGCGCAGCGGTGCTCGCGTGCTGCTGGCAGGCAGGACACGACGAGAGCGTCAGCAGCTTAGGGCAGGCATCAGTTTGCGAAGCTTCACAATCAGTGATGCCACGCGACGGCGTTATGAAGCCGCAGTCGGCCTGATTCTCCCCTTCTTAGAGGAGCATGGCTTGGTGGATTGTGACCAGCTGGTGTCAGAGTGGATTGAATGTCAGTGGGTGCGTGGGGAATCAGTGAATGTTATCGCTGACTGCCTGAGTGGTCTCCATTTCTTTCTCCCGGAGATTAGAGGATCGCTGCGGCAGTCCTGGCGATTGTTCCGTTCCTGGCGGAGAGTCGAAACCCCATGCCGCGCTCCTCCACTCACACCGGAGCTGGTCAAAGCAATGATTGCCAGAGCTGTCGATCAGAATCATATTGCTTTCGCTACAATGCTCGCAATTGGATTTCACGCCCTTCTCCGGACGGGAGAATTGCTTGCTCTTCAGTTCCAAGACGTTGAATTCGCAGATACATGCGGGGTTATCACCCTCAAGAGCTCTAAATCAGGGCTCCGTCATGGAACTGAGGAAGCTGTGGCCTTACGTGATGGTCTCACGTTGTCCCTGCTGGAAACGCTGTTTTCCGTGCAGGAGCATGGGCCTGGCAACAAGCTGTGGCCCTTCTCGGCACAGTGCTTCAGGGAGACCTTCCAGAAGTACTTACGATTCTTTCGACTGTCAGGTCTTTCCTTCAAACCTTACAAGTCTTCGTAGAGGAGGAGCTACTTTTTTATTACAATCCGGCACACCCTTGGATGTGATATTACTAAGAGGAAGATGGCATTCTTTGTCTGTTGCCAGACTCTACCTAGAAGATGGCATGGCTCAAATACCAGCCATCAGGATTCCCCCCGAAGATCGTCCAAGGATTGCGATGTGGGCCGCGCATTGCCCTAAAACGGCCTTTCGGCCATAGGTGGGGCCGTGGAGGAGATGGAGCCCCAGAAGGTTAATTTGATGTGTTTAAATGAAAAATTCATGGCCATACCAGTTGGCTTTGTTCTGAAAAGTGGTGTCCCATCAGTCCATACCTGTTGGACCTGGGCATTCACTATAATCAGGTCATACCAGTTGACCTGTGAGTTCAAAAGGTACAGAAAAAACCTGGCAAAAGCCAGTGGTATGAGATTACCTTCGGGTTCAGCACGCTCAAAAAAGGCGGATGAGTCCTTGATGGTCGCCCCGACTGTTAGGACGAATCAGTTTGAGCGTCTGATCGGGGCTTTTAGGCTCAAACGCACCCTTCCCTTCCCCCCCGGTGCTGGGTGTCTTTCACCCGTGCACTGTGCTGTGGAGGAGATGGAGCCCCAGAAGGTTAATTTGATGTGTTTAAATGAAAAATTCATGGCCATACCAGTTGGCTTTGTTCTGAAAAGTGGTGTCCCATCAGTCCATACCTGTTGGACCTGGGCATTCACTATAATCAGGTCATACCAGTTGACCTGTGAGTTCAAAAGGTACAGAAAAAACCTGGCAAAAGCCAGTGGTATGAGATTACCTTCGGGTTCAGCACGCTCAAAAAAGGCGGATGAGTCCTATATATATATACAACTATACATATATAACTATGATTAACTATGTGTATATAACTTATGTATAACTTATAACTATTAACAACTTATATTAAGTAGTCTGGCTGGCCTCTCTTTTTCAGATGCGCTCGGGTATGTTTCAGGCTTCAGAATTTGAAGAGGCTGTATGCGATGGATAACTCAACACTTCACGTGCTGAGAGCAGGACTTGGGCAGCTAGCAGCTTCGGGCGTGCGGGATGATGGCAAGAAAGGGTTGAAGGAACACCTTCCTGATGACACTTGCGCACCAATTGATCCCATGGTTCTGGAGACTGTTGGAACATGTTGGAACCCGAAAAAATGCAATCAAAAGAAAACATAGCAGCAACAACAAAAACCAAACATCGACACATCAATTTAGCACCAAATCTTCCCCCAAAACCCGACTTGAAAAATCATCAAATCCAAGGATGAAACATCGAACCCTAACATAAAAACATAACAAGCAACATACAAACCTATACGCCCTGAAACCCCCATGTCTGCATTTCTTAAACCCGGCATTCCAATGAATTGCCTGCAGGAACTGATGACCATTCGAGAAGCTATCTAAGCTAAGGGCGAGGTACGCTGCGGAGATGTCTTTGCCAGGAACGCTTCTATTTTTGGCATGTGCGAAGCTTTGACATCATCATACAGTCATACATAATCGATTTTTGATATGTTTTATGATTTGATATGATTTGTGTGGGTGTGAGACGACTCATTCCTCAAACTGAGTGGTGTTTCTTTAGTCTGACTGCGATGCATGTGCTACATTGTGCTAGAGGGCAGTAGTTCATACGGGCATGGCTTGAGCAGTACCGCTTCGGCACGCGCTGGCATCTCCCTTTGCCCTAATTCTGTCCTGGCTCAGCGATGCATTTTGCGCAGCAACACCTCATACTACAATGTCATCATGAATCATGGAGAACTGGAACGATAGGAATGTACAAAGCAACCCCCCAAACAACTCACAAGTCTCTGCAAGCAGCTACACCTCTGACAGCTTTGAACATGACCCAAAGATCCGACTATCCCCAGCCTCAGCTGTTACAGTCCGGAACTCCTGTGGCATCCTGTGGCGTCCTGTGGCATGTGGTCCTACATTGGGAAGTCCGCCATCTTCCTGGGTGGCTGCTGTAGCGGCGCAGCTGCAGCGACCTTCCTTCGTGCAGAGGAGCGGCGAAGGCAAGTGAAAGCTGGGGAGTACTACCAACTGAAAGGCCGGGAGAGTCCGGCTCATGCCCATGGGCCGGACTCTTGGGACTGTTCTTGGGTAAGGAAGTTACAAAACATAATGGTCAACTGGGTTTCAACATGTTACAGTACCTTACAAGTTGGCATATGATTGACTATCATCCAGCTAGTCATCCAGACATACCCAGGTGCCAACTATTCACCAACTCCCAGGATCATCCTGGATGTGCTGGGGGGAGCATAGGCTTTCCAACAAAGATCCTGCCTAGCTCTCATAGCTTCTATGCCATCCCACGCTGCAAGGAAGCTACTATCAAGTACTGGGGCACGCTTGGGCAATTCGGCTGCAAAGTGCAGCTTAAGGAGGTTGTCTGGGATGTTGTAGGCGTGTGTCATCCATCGTATGTGATTGTCGTCGCATGTATACCCTGCCCAACAAGACCCAATTGGACAAACTTGGGACCATCTCAGGACCACTTCCGTCGAGATTTTTGACCCTTGGCATGCGGATTGATGCAGGGGTGTGTAAAAGTGGACTATAGTGGACTGTTTTGCCATGCTGCCTTTGGGCAATCGGTTTGTTGCAAACACCCTCCACATCCAGCAGACAGAAACCTTTGCTCTTGTGGCCCTTGTCCTACGTTCAACTCCTCAAGTTCATAATTCACAACAGCACAGCTCTGAGGTGTGGTCTATCGGCCCTTGTATCACTGCGAGGCGATGGACTCCGCGCTGGAAAATTCTCATAGTTGGTCCATGTTTGTCCCATTCCTCCATTTTCCAAATAATCTTTCATCTTGAAGGTCTTTTGTAGTTCTGCTTGTTTCACTGTAGTTTGCAATCCTCCTGTAATAGTTTATAAATGTTTATAATAGTTTTACTGGCCTCATATGAAGATATCCCCCATATGGCTGTCACCAAATGATCCCCTGAACCCAGCAGCCAGGGGTTTCTGGGGCCTTCAGCCGTGGCTCGAGAGTCGCGTTTCCGCCGTCGCGCAATGGCGGCCCTGGCGCTGCCTCCACGACCAGGGCAGGCAGCGGGGAAGCCCAAGGATGACGATGAGCGAATACGCCAGGACGGGTGGGACAGGCTAAAATCATCTAAAATCAACATTGGGTAAATATTGGGTAACCCATCCTCGAGCGGCCAAAGTTGGGAGGTTTATTATGGTTTATATATGTTTATCTTATATCATGCGTTATTGTGGTTTATTGTTGGGTTTGCCACTTTTTCTTGTGAAAGTGGCCCGCCATCCTGAATTTAGAAGACCTCACTGGCAGCAGGAGTTGGCTTCACTCTGTGTTCGCGGCCAAGTGCATCAGGTGGTGGAGGCCCTGCAGAAACCGGAGCTGGTGAAGTTCGCTTCGCAGCCATTGGATGCTGCAGGACAAGGGGGGTGGATGATCTATGACGATCTATGACTCTGACTACCTATGATTATCTATGTATGACTATATATATACATACAGTATATATATATATATACGTATATATATAATCTATGACTACATATCTATACCTATATGTAATTATGTGATTATCTATGATCATATATTATGAGCATATTTTGATTATCTATGCTGATCCCTCATGATTTATGACATTTATAACATATGATGATCTGAGGCGTTACTGTGCCAGTTGCGATGTAACAATGTTGCAATGCAGGAGCCTCAGCGCTTCACTTGGCAGTTCTGGGAGGTCACCTGACGTTTGCCCAGGAGACAGGGTATAGCTTTTTTTGGGTGGCCTGGAATTTGGACTGGCCCGAAGTAAGGTGTGTGCCACATCGTGCCACACACACACACAAACAGAACCTAATGCCATGTCTCAAGAGCTGCTTGAGCTGACTACTGCCCCCTAATATGTCTTTCGGGAGAATGCTCCCTTGCCATGTCGTGCGTTTCACTCGTTAAGCTGCCTCATGTGGAAACGATTGTATATAACTGTGTGTGAAACTCGCTTAGCTACAGAGAAACTTGCCACGAGAGGAGATGCAGCACATGTTGTGAACGCTGTTAGTTTGTTCTTTTAGCCCTCTCATGGCATGGGTTGCAACGAAGCACTGTGAAGCACTGGGCCGCCATCCCAGTGACAGGAGCTCATCAACCAGAATTGCGCGGTGGATGTTCAAGATGACAATGGACAAGAGCCCTTACATGTGGCGGCCATTGAAGGGCATTCAGACTTAGTCTTGGAGACTCGGGTTTGCGTTTGTTTTTCAAGGAGCCGAAGTGGTGTTTCTATTTTGCTGATCGACCCCTCTCATCGCACAAGACCATAAGAGGTAGGACCCCTGCATAGTCAGTTGGAACCATCAAGTGCAGAAACTGAATGATTTTCACCAAGGAACTTTTGATGGCAAATGCCAATGTCAATGCTCCAGATGGTACGGGCATGAGACTTGTTTGCACGGGAATGTGCTGTATGAGCCAGCTAGAATTGCATTTTGAGGGGTCATGAGCTACATGTTTATGCCACCCCATGTGGATGATATTCTTTAGCTTGATTTGATCCACTTGGTGAAGAAAGCGAGTTTGAGTAGGTTGCACTTGAGTTGCAGGAGACTTGCTCATGTGAGTTGGCCTGCTTCAAATGTGCATCCTTGGGACAAGTCTTCCACCAAGTTTTCTATTGTTCACTGCCATTGGTATGCTGTCTATAGCTGTCTGACTGGGGGCAGATCCAACCCGTGGAACCAACGACCATTGTCCTTACCAGCTGTGTGCACCGCCAAGGACGGCTCTGCATTTGTCCAGTCTCTGGGGGTCAATCCCCTCGGTATCTTGGTTCAGCTATGGCAATGAGTGTAGCATGTGAAGCTGCGTAGCCTAACTCAAAAAGTATGCATATTGAAACTTGGCCCTAGATGCAGAAAGCCTCTCAAACATGGAGGAACTGCTAATAGCTTCTGGAATTCCTGCTGCACCCTGCTTGTGAAATCGATCGCGTAAGGCTTCTGTGCTGCTGGAGCATCAAGCCAACCCGACTCTGCGAGACAACTATGGTCGCACGGCTTTGTTCATCGCGGCAGAGCAGGGCAAAACTGAGCTGATGAAGTTTCTGCTGGAAAAGGATGTCAGCACCGCCAGCATCCCGAACAATGAGTACTGGACCCCCCTGCATATTTCGGCTTTTGGGATGCAAACGGTGCCTTGGCAGAAATGGGCACACTGCCAGCAAGTGATTTAGGTGGATGCTAGCGGCTAGCGGTCCTGGTTGGAGGATAATTCAATGATACCTTGTTTGCGTGTGTTACACGATATCCTGAAGCCAGTGAAGAGATCAGATGTGGCTGGAAGTTTCCGACCACCGCACCATCAGATCCATAATCTTTTGCACCCTCCTGCCAAGACTTGATCAAGACATCACCCCACATGGGGGTATACCATGGTATACCTGTCTTTTTTTGATTCCATGGTGAATTTTAAGCCCGATCCCTTTGCCATCCAGGTGAAAAACTTCACGCGACCCTTAAAGTTCCTGGAGACGGTAAAGGTGCTTCTGAATGCCAAGGTCCAGCTGGATGCGAAGGATGAGAACTGTTGCACAGCACTGCATCGCACCTTGGTTGAAAGGGAGCAAGGTGGTTGAAAGCTATTGGAAGAACCTCCAAGCCTCACCCAAACCCACGGTATCCCATGGTGAATAAGACGAAGCCGACCCAAAATACCGAACATTTGAAATTATAGGTTGGTGAACCGTTGCGGTAGAATTGGGGCGGGTAAGGAAGCGGAACAAGCTTTCGGCTTGCAAAACCTGAATTGAATTCACAGATTCGAACTTGCTTTGTCCCGGCTGGAATGCCCAATGCAATTTGGGTCGTTGCACATTTGTTGCTTGTCTCATCAGATTGTCCTTTTGACTCAGAATTATGGCCGGGTTTTCTGTATTTTGACTCAGTCTCCGAACATGCGGGGGCCCAAGATGGCCCAAGGTGCAGCGCAAGCCAACAACTTGGAGATTCTAAGAGCCCTCCTAGATGCTGGAGCAGATCTAAGTCTGGAGGATGAATGCAGGCAGGGAAGCGGGGTGGTATGGGGTGGTTTTTCTCCAACTGCTGTGGCATCCTGTCAGCAACCTGGGCCCAGGTGGACACCCCTACACTATGCCAGCCAGTTTGGGTATTTGAAAATCGTTGAGACGCTCCTGGATGCGAAAGCAGAGGCTGCACCCAAGGAGTTGACTTGTTCAACCCCGCTTTCCATTGCCACTATGGAGAACCAGGCTGGACTTCCGCTTGTCCTTTTCTGTTCGCGAACTTCTGTGGTTCCGCCATCTTTTGGATATCTTTCTGGAGAAATCATTAAGTAATTACAGTAGCAATTTATATGATATCCATTGCACTTGCGTGGACTTGCTGACAGCACACGTCCCCAGTTTTCCCCTGGCGGTTCCTGATGTTTCCAAGGTCCGAACCGTGGAACTGCTGCTGAAGTACCGCGCAGATCCAGAGGCACGGGCCAAAGGACTTCACTCGCCGTTGATGATGGTGCGCAAGGAGCCAGAAACATGGCGCGACGATGACCAAAAAGGGATGGTACCGCGGTGTGGCCACGAATTGCAGTGGAACATAAAACATCGTTAGCTGTTGACCCATCCCCACGTAGCGGAAATTTACTCCACTATATTGTGGCTTACCAGATTGATCAGTTCTACAGCTAGGCCAAGAATTCTGGGGTTGTTTTGATGCTTTGTTGAGGAAGGGCAGGAAGGGGTTAGTGACTGAGCTTCTTTCAAACGATTTCTTGGTTTGTTTGACTAGAGCCTGGACTTGGTGCTTCATTGCCAACCCCCACCTGAGCAGCGTTATTTTTGTTTATCCGAGGATAATACCTTTAAGATTTTTACAGTATTAAACAAAAAACCTGCTCACCTGACAGAGAACGTGCTGCGTGCAGCATGCGGCAGTGTCTCTCCAGTGGGCAGTTTGCTTTCCAGTATATACTTTGATGTACTTTGACCTGGTTCGGATGTTTGGTGCACTGCTGTTTCAGAGTCGTGCGACTGACGATTTCCCAGGAAAAGTATTCTGACATCAAGACTTTGTTTGAGATCGGCTTCATCAACCACCAGTAGGATCTGTTAGGAAGATGAGGGTTGGAAAAGCCAGCCCTCACTGATAAAGGTGAATAGATCAGGAGTAGATGTATCCGGCTGTCACAGTCGCTTTAAGGATCTTTGAGCCTATGTACAGAACAGGGGCTAAGAAATGGTAAGAACATAATATACACATATTTGATGTTTGGAACTTCATGGGTCACTCAGTCAATTATCTTGAATTCACCTGTTCCCATCGCAGCAAAGGGCCCCTAAATGCCCCTAAGCTCAACTTCTGATGGTTTTGGTGGCAAGTCGCATCTTGATCTTCTGTCAGTTGGAGTAAATTGTGTGAAGCTGGATGCCATGCTGGGCGAAGTAGACGACTTTGTCGGTTTCACTTGAAGCAAGACGCTTCTCTCGCTATGGCGGATGGCGGCATGTCTCAGTCACGCGCTGCGCCAAAAGTCGTTGACTTGGTAATGGTGCCTGGCTAAATAGTCACTGTTGGCAGATGCTGGCAGGGACGTGCGCCCGTTTGATGCAGAGCTGTCGCCAGGCCCGGGAAGGCCGTTTCGAAGCGCATGTCTTGGCCACCTCGCACTTTGAACGCCGCTGGGCATGATGCTGGGAACGGGGGTACACTAGGCACACTGGGCACACGTGGTCACCATGGTGACTGGGGAATGTAAGGGTCCTGTTGTTGGAACCTGCTTTGGGAGTCGATGTTGGCGTTTGTGCAATTTCTGTCCACTAATCATGGGAGATATGGGAGTTGATTTGGGTAGCATCAGGAGCATTCAGGAGCTGCCACTTTTGATGACTGTGATTTTTGTTCATTTTGAATTCATTTTGATATTATTTATATATTATATAACTTTAGATTAATCTAGTAACATGTAGTAACACGTTATAAAGTCATAATAATATAGTAATATAAAAAAAACGAATAGATATCTTGGTGGAATTTCTTGGATCTTGCTGCATGCGTTTGCCATAAAGCTGTCAAATGCTCGGAGGCTCGGAGAGTTTTAACAGCGAGAGTCCTTATCCCGGACACAGAACAGACACGGATATGCATATACAACATATATACAACTATAACATTAAAATATATTGTGCTAATTGCATCTACATAATTGCAGCATACTTCAACAAGTAAATATACGAATATATATATATACACGGTATACGAATATAATCAAATAATCTATAGAGATGGACCAAGATGGATGGATCATGATAGATCCACTTAAAAAAAAAATCCACTTTGGCCTTTGCTCGTAACTGAGGCTTCAATGAATTCACCAAGGTGTCCTTTGATGAGATGGACCTCGCGGCACAGAGCTGTGCCTTGCCGGGTCCCTTTGTTGAAGACAAGGCCTGGGGCCTAGCGCTGCAAACCAAAGCGGTGGACGGAGCAGGTCCTTCAGAGTTGCAGCCACTTGGCAGAACTTCATGCTATACCCTCTGGTAATTTAACATAGCTATTGAAAATGGCCATTTATAGTGGATTTTCCCATTGAGAATGATGATTTTCCACAGCTATGTTAAATTACCAGAGGGTAATATGCTAGTGATGATTCTAGTGATATTTGCGATAATTTATTGGCAGATCTACCATTTGCTATATCATTTTCTAGATTTTTCTAGTGATTCTAGTGCGTCTGAAGGCAAACGGGCAAATGGGATGCTGGGATGCTGCCAAGATCTGCCAAGATCTGCCAAGATCTGCCAAGATCTGCCAAGCCATGCCGCACGTGAATGGACAGCCAAGGAAATCTTTTCTCGCAGATGTTCGCAATGTGAAGACACCCACCACCAGCGGCTATGGCACTCGGAGCCATCAGGACACATGACATGGGAGTTGGTAGCTGGATTCTGTCCGGTAATTTTTGTTCATTGCGTGAAGTTAATTGCTAGCTGGAACATCCTGTGTCAGATTGTGAAGTGTGGAGAAAGTGACGGTATAGTCGGTATATGTCGGTATAGTGATAGTAGCTACAGATGCTACAGTGACTTCGTGCGGGTTCAATCAGTTGAAGGGATGCATTGCAGATGAAGATCTTCAGCCGTGCTGACTGCTGGAAGGAGACTGCCATAAAGCGGCAACTTTGAGAAGCGTCAGCGAAGAAAATGGCAGCAGAATAGACTTGAGATCGAAGCTGCATGCATGAAGCACAAAAACATCCCAAAAACATCATACATCATCTTCATTTTGAATCTACTGTTTTCATACGTTTTTATTCTGCAGTGGCCTCTGTGTGTGACTGAATTTCATGAATCTTCCTGAGAGTTTTGGGTATGTCGTTGAGTCAGCTATCCCTTGTCGCAGGCGGAGGCATTGCGTTTGTTGAAGCAGGCTGAAATCCAGGAGATCAATGCCAAGGATGGAAGAACGTACGTCAGACAATCTTGGATCCCTAGGTTGGTAAAGCATCTGCGGTGTTGCACGGTGATCAAGATCAAACATGTGGCTGCAAGTGCTGGCTCTTGCCCCATTGTGCCCCTGACAGGATGTGGATGGTCTGTCTCTTCTAGACCATGCTGCCATTGCTGGCATGCGCATGTTATGCACGGCCCTGCTGTGGCATGCGGACTTCGAACATTTTGAGTCCACTGGCGCGGCTTGGCAGCTCAGCCCTTGACCCTAAACTTGTTCAAGTAGGGTACACAAAAATTGCCCATTGCAGATTCGCGATGTTTCCCTGCAAATTGTTGAGAGGGGTTAAACTGGTTGACCCTGGGAACCTGCTGAACTTGTATATGAATGTATATGATTCTTCTATACTCTGCTCCTGAACGTAGAAAGCACATCCACAGTACCCCTGCCACCATTTGCCAAATGCGTGACGCAAGGCTGCAAACTTCACAACATTGTGGTGATCCCAGGGTTGCGGCAAGCAGTTGCACATGCAGTTGGGATATTGTTGAAACATTGAGCATATTGAGCTGCATGTTGGGTGGAAATGGTGAACTGTACGGTTTTAGCTTGAAGGGTCCAAGACCTTACCCTCTGGTAAACTAACATAACTATGGAAAATCACAATTTTTAATGGGAAAATCCACTATAAATGGTCATTTTCAATAGCTATGTTAAATTACCAGAGGGTAAATTCTTCTCCAAGTGGGTGTATTTCGGCGGCCAAGAAAGAAAAACCACACTGCTGACATGGTTTCGCTCAAGGCATTGGGCTGCCAGTTGTGGACAGGCAGGGCACCATGGGCGTATTGGTCGCTCGCGTTGGTGGTGGAATTCCCTGGCTCCGCAGGCTTCTGTGTGTCATGCTCTGTCGCTACCTGAGTGACACATCCAAATCATCCAAACTTGATTTTTTCATATCTTTCCTAAAGGATATGATCTGATGTGATTTGGTGACAGATGACATTCATGTCGAGTCAGACATGTGGTGTAGCTTGGATGAGGACAGCCTTGTCGTGCCATTTTGGCTCAAGGCTGTCAACTTCTCCAAATCGCACCACAGGGGGGGATGTCTCAGGGAGTGGTGGTCTGGACGGGTGAGAATACTGAGGAAGAGACCTCTCTTCTGTCGGTGCTCGCCATTGTCTGGGCCATCACTTTCCTTGTGGGCTCTCTCTGTGGAGTGTGGTTTGAGAGGTCGCGGTCAAGTAAAACCCCGGCTCGGTCTGCCGCGTTTGCGTCCTGGGAACGGGTGACTGTGAGAGCCCTACGCTTTCTGGCAAAGCGCCGGAGGGTAAGTGAACCACAACCGGAACCACAACCTACGGGGAGTGAACCCAGTGCCGGCCAGACAGCGGGCCAGGCGCAGGGTGGCCACACCGTCACGGATCCTGCACGAGGGCTTCGCACTGCCGCACCATGGACCCAACGGAAGCCGAGCTGCAGGCGATAACAACGCTCCAGGAAGCCCGCCAATGGGTGGGTATTGATGGAAGACTGGAAGCCGCAGTGCAGGGGGCCTTGGGGGACCCACAAAGGGTGCGAGAGATCGCGCTTATCCCTAGACAATTATGGGATACTACAATGGCCGCACTGCAGGTGGAAGAGCCCGGCGCTGCAGATGGTGATCCTCCGGTACACCGGGATCTTTCTCCAGTCGAGGTGGCAAAGCTGGAGTCTTTGAGAAGGGTCTGCAATCTCCGAGTGGGACAACCTGCAGATGACCGTGGGACAGTGTTGCCTGTGGCTCCGGCAGCCCCGGGTCCCCTCCTACCACCCGCTGGTGGGGGGCCCGCTGGGCAAGCTGGGCCTCGGCGCATTAAGTTGTCCGCGGTCTTAGACCCGACACTAGACGCGGACATCGTGCCGCTCACAGAGGGTGAGGTCACCCGAATGTGTGACGCTTACAGGTCCAAGTTCGGAGATTTTCCGACGGACGACGCAGACGTCAGTCGAGACCAATTGGCAGCAGTCCGACAAGTGGTTCAGGCAAATGCCTGCCCATACGCCGACTTCTCGGTGTGGGGTCCTTTTGGACAGCGGTTACTGCGTAAGCAGACCTACCTGGCATACCACTTGAATCCGACCACGGGAGATTGGATCCGAAAGGAACAACCGGGACCGGATTCATTCCACTCCTGGTACGAAGCCTGGAAGTGCTATCGCACCGCCCTTCTATTAACAGAGGCGTGCGAGGCGGAACGCCTGGATGCCTATTCGGAAATGATCCGTAGCTTCGTCCAACAGTATGGCGAAGAGATGTGGAGCTTCGTCAGCCGAGCCGACTCGAGGATGCGGTCCGAGCAGCTGGATAGAATCCGTCGGCGTCTACGTGCCGACCCGATGTATGGCTACCAGGAGGGCACGCCTTGGTCAGCCTGCTTTGCTGCAGCGGTGCGCGAGTCTGAGTTTTGGCAGAGAGAGCTGGCGACCCCCCTCCTGATGTTTGTGGCCCGCAACAAAAGGGAGCCGGCGTCTGAGAGCAAGCCGGACGATCGCCCGACGAATGAGGGTGTGCCGAAACGCCAGAAGGTAAGGGCAAATCGCCGCTACACCGGTGAAGACCGCTCCAAGAAGAACCAGGAGGGGCTCTACAGTTTGAACAGGAAAGGCATTGAGATATGCCACCTGTACAACAGGGCAAGTGCGGCTCAGAGAAGGCACAGGGAAAATGCCGCAACCAGAGATCTCACCAGTGCAACAAGTGCCTCGGGCCCCATCAGGGGCTCAAGTGCGGCAAGGAGAACTGACCCGCAGACGGCGGGAGTTCGGCTGGTGGTCCGAGCTCCAAGAGGCCGCTGGAAAAGCCACCAAGAAGAGAAGAAGGTACAGAGTCAGCAGTAGCAGAACCCGCGCCGGCCAAAAGGCCCAAGACCACGGCTTACCGGGAACCATCGGTGCCAAAGGGGGGCTCAGATGGGCCGACCGCTTCGTCGGCTTCGAAGCCACCTCGACCCAAGAACCAGGTTGAGGTCAAGAGCCACATCACTGTGGAGTATGGATGCTGGTCCTGCAAAGGTGAGGACATCAATGTTGGGAAGCCGATAGCCCTGATCCTCTTCTCCGGAAGATCCCGGCCGGGAGATCTACACAACCAGCTGGTGAACCTGGGCTGGATCGTGTGCTCCGTAGACATGGCAGCACCCATCAAAACCAACCTCCTGGACGATGGGATCTGGGAAAAGATACTGGCCGACATCCGCTTGGGGATGTATGAGGCTGTCTGGGTGGCGACCCCTTGTGGCTCATTCTCACCACTGAGGGAGAATCAGCCGGGCCCCCGGCCGCTTCGCACAGTCGAGAAGATACAGGGCAAGCCCAAAGAAGAGCTCACCCAAGGCGAGCAACGCCAGCTGCGGGAAGCCAACGTGCTGGTTAGCAGGTCCGCAACGGCGGGGATCACGCAGGTGGAAGCCGATCGCATATTCGGTTTGGAAAATCCAGACCATGGGCCAGACCGGCCGTCGCTTTGGTTGATGCCCAGCATCAAGAAGCTGGAGGCCTGTGCAGGAATGAAATCGGTCCACTTCGATCAATGCCGCACATTAGAAACAACTAAGCCAACGAAGATCATACTGCACAAGGCCGAGTTGGAACAGCTGGATGGGCTAAGGTGCAATCACCCGAAGAGGACCTTCGAAAAACCGGACGGCTCCAAATACGAAGCCTCCCACCAGTCAGCAGTGCAGAGATGGGTAGTTGGCCCCGACGGCAAGCGTGAGCGAGCCTCTCGTTCCCAGGGAGAATACACCGCGGAACTTTCCGAGGCCATTGCTAAGGCGTTCCATCGCGCCTGGCAGGCCGGGGAGCTGAAGCGGGACCCCCTTCCCTGAAGCGAGGAGGAGCCCTTGGGTCCGGCGTTGAAGGAGGGCCCAATCAAAGAGAGAGAAATGGAAAACCTCCACGCATTGGGAGGCATGCGGAACCCTCACCTGAGTGCCCAGCGGTGGCCACAGTCGGGGACACCCGGTCAGATGGTCCGGCTGCTGTTCAGGAAAGCCCAGGAGCTGTGGCCAAACCTCAGGGACACCGCAAGAGCCATCCTGTCAGGAGAACGCCCCCCAGAACTGCCAGCGCAGATAGTCAGCTTGGTGAGGAGTACAACCATCACCTTGCTGGGCGGCGATAAGGAGTCTTGTCGCAGACGCACCGCAAAAGCCACTACCCCTATCAGCTCCGAAGTGATGGCGGCCTGGGGAACAGCAACGTCTGACCCCGACGCAGCGACCCTTGCGAGCTGGTTGGATCACGGAGCCCCCTTGGGTTTCAATTGCCCAATTGAGACCAGGGGGGTCTTTCCGCAGGTCGGTCCCCCGGTCGACGCCCCTGACGACTTGCAGGTCGAGACAGAGCTGAGGGAATGGCAGAATTATAAGTCGGCGGAAGAGGAGCGAGAAGACCTCGACAAGCTCATCTCCGAATATGTGGAGAAGGGTTGGTGCCGGCTCCTCCCTAGCATAGAAGCGGCCGAAATCGAGCTGGGCGAGAAGGTCACCCTGAACAAGCTCGGGGTGGTCGTGAAGTTCACGGAGTCAGGCACCAAGAAGTCCAGAGTTGTCTGGGACCTTTGAAGGAGCGGGGCGAACGCAAAGTGTCACCAAGCCGAACGGATCGTACTGCCAAGGCTGACAGACCTAGCCCTAAGTCTCGAAAGCTAGTAATTTTACTAATTTAGTAATTTTACTAATCCAGAAGA